GGCTGCGGTGCCCACGCGAGGCGACGGCCTGCAGCTGTTGCCACCCGCGGGGCAGCGGGGGGCAGGTGGTCCTGGCACGTGGTGGGGGGCCGCTTTCTTAAGCTCGGGGGAGGCCCCCTGTAGCATGCGTGGCTTCCCTGGGGGGGGGGGGCGACGCCTCACTGCCTGGCCCCTGCCTGTGGAGACGGAGGTGCTCTGGGTCCACCGGCCTCCCGGTAGAGGCCAGGCGGCCAGTGTTGATGGGCCGGGCCCCTCCGAGAGCGGGCGGGCAGAGGCGGCTGGGCATCCCAAGGTGGAACTCGGCAGGGGCCTCATCTGGACCAAGCCCTGCGGCGCCCGAGCCGGCTGTTGGCACTGGGGTCAGCGCTTGTCCTCCCAGGCCCCGCGCCGGTGACACTTCCCCGTGGCTCCGGGGCGAGATGTGCGCGAGAAGGGCCGATGGAGGTTCGTGGGGGCAAGTGCCTGGAACTTTCTGGGCTATGGACAGCCGTGCCCTTGGCTGCCCAGGCCTGAGGGGCTGCATCTGGTCGCTCAGGCTCCACCACAAGCGGTCCTGCTTCCCAGGTGGGCAGCGGACCCTGGGGTCCCCGGGAGTATGGTCAAGGGCCTGGCGTGGGGATGACTGGGGGAAGGTCAGAGCAGGACCGGGGGGTGTGTCCCCAGGAGCCTTCGCCTCCTCCGCACTGGTCAAGGTGGCTGTGGGTGGAGCTGGTCACTCACGCTGACTTCAGCTGCCCGGACCGCTCAACCCCCTCTGCGGAGGCCTGCAGGGATGGGTGGGGCCCTCATCCTGTCTCCCCTCAGGCTCCCTGGCGCCCTCTGCTGGGCGGGCAGGGGCTGCAGGCGCCCAGAGGCTTTGCAGGGGAGTAGAGGAAGGTGGGACCGGGTGAGGGTGGCAGGGAGTTTCCAGAGTGGGCTAGGTGCCTCCAGGTGAAGTTTCCACTTGATCCAGCAGAGGGCAGGGCGGGGCGAGCGCCTGCATCTCTGGGGGCCTTGGTGGTGGGGCGGTGGAACCCCGGCCAAGGTGTTGGCTCTGGGGCTGTCTGGGATGTGGTGTTGGCTGGACCTGGGGATGGCTGAATGAGAAGCATGACCGGGGACCTAGGGGTGGAGGGCCCTGGGACACTGGGGATGCACTAGGGACTGGGGACAGAGAACACTGCCCTGTCCCTGGAGACAGGGAAGGCTGGGCTGGGGGGGCTTGGGGGTGCACCTGAGGCCTCGGGAGTTCTGGAAAGGAGCTTCTGTGGGCTTCGCCGCTGGGTATCCTCACAACGGTCACCGTCGCGGGGAATCACTGGGCTACTGGAACCGGCCAGCCTGGCTGGGCTCTGGCCAGTCCACTCGCTCTGCTGGCCTCACCTTCAGCCACCGGGCGCGCCCCTCCCAGGCAGCCCAGGGATGTGGCTCTGGGCAGTTCCCAAGGCCCAGTCCTCTTTCCACGCGCTGACTCTTGAGGACACCAAGGTGTACGTCACTGTGACATCCATTGTGGGGGGTGGTGTTTCCCTGGGGTGACAGTTGTCATTACAACTGAGAAAGGGGGAGCATGGGAGGTCCTAGAGTCTGAGGGGCCCAATAGGACTCGCGGCCTCAAGCCAGTAC